ATATGAGTTACCGACCCAGGATTTTTCAGCTTTAAATTGTGACAATAAGCCGGCAGTTGGGAAAACGATGCTTCTGGTGACCCCCCAACAATTCCAAGGCATAACATTTGGCTCTCCAAGCTTAAAAATATGAGATACTAATCTTGAACCGAGCATTCATGTCAGTCATAATTTCATTTCCCCGATATACCCTGCCATTCAAAAATATTAACTCAGCTAGAAAACCACCCAACACCTTTTTGTTTGCTTGTCTATGGTGAGGAAAAACTTGGGTTCTTGAACATGTATGTTTATCAATAAAAGTCCTAACTTGAAACATTTCGCAATCTTTTATCCTCTTTGCAATCATACGCCACGTACAGTTTTTGTCAATTATACACCTTGTTTCGAAACGATCTTTGCTTGATTTGTTAACTTTTAGTTGATAGCCATCTTCCACACATTTCGTATACAAAGCTATCTTCAAGTCTTCCTTTGTATCAAAACAATCATCTTTCTTGATACGAATAATTTTTGTGTAACAATCAACTGCTATCTTTACCAACTCTTCTTCCGGTATCTGATGTAATTCTGGCATATTCCAGTTATACTCCCGTGATATTTTCTTTGGGGATTTCTTCTTCTTCTTTTTCTTCTTCAAGGTTATATGAATTACAGAATGGATGTTCAACATGTTCATTCACAGTCGTAACTTCCTCCTCAATATCATCAACAACATCTTCCTCTGCAGCGGCTATTTCATCATCAAAATTCGGGTATTTACCAATATCAAAATCATTACACGCAGAGTCTGTTTATTCTTCTGAAACATCATCAAAATCCGAGTATTGACCAAGATCAAAGTCTGGGTATTGACCAAGATCAAATTTCGAATACTGACTAGTACTCACAATTTTTTTTGTTGGCTCATCATCGTCTAACTAGTCAATACGAAAACCAGAATTTGGTGCTGAAAGTTGATTGGGATTTGGATTAGGGAAATGAAAGGTTGTGGGTTTTGAGATTGTGTTTGGTATTGGAAATGTGGTGAAACAAAATTTGCTTGGTGATGAAATTGTGGTGAAACCATTAAATTTTGAGCACCATAAACTGAGGTTGAAAAACTTAGTTGATTACTACCCGCTACTGATCCAACTTCACTACTTCTAGGTTCAACAACATACAATGTAACATCATCTTGCGAAACACTAATGTAAGTAATGAATTCGTTCAACATCTTCATTGTCGGTTAACAAATAAACTTTACCTTTTCTCTGATAAGATAGCCTAAATCCACTTAAGGGCTCTAAATTCAATTTATTTGCAACACGTAACATTAGAGTTTCATAAGTTAACTTTTTTAATGACAGTTTAAGTTGAAGATTCATGGGTAAAGGCATATATTGTAAAACACCATGAACATTCTCCATGACCCTCCAAAACACAAATTTATTCAAACATGATCAACATTAGATGATTTCATTATTGTAAATTAATTTACTAAACAAACGAGTTGCGAAACTAAAACCTGTTGCCGGATGGGGAAGGATGTCGTTGTATATAGGAACGGATGTCGCCGGAGAGAGTGATAGATAGAGATGGAATGAGTTGCGATTTAGGGATTTAGGTTATGAGTTGTTGTTGCTGCGTAGTTATATACCCAAAACATTTATGTTGCGAAACTAAAACCTGTTACGAATTTGAAATTCAGCGTTGCGACAGTCAGAATCGCGTTGCAATAGTCAGAATCGAGTTGTGATTATGTATTATCGCGTTGCGATTATGTATTATCGCGTTGCGATAGTCAGAATCGCATTGCGATAGTCAGAATCGCGTTGCGATTATGTATTATCACGTTGCGATTTATATATTCGCATTGCGATTTTCTAAAATCGCAAGCAATGAATCGTTCAACATCTTTATTGTCGGTTAACAAATAAACTTTACATTTTCTCTGATAAGATATCCTAAATCCACTTAAGGGATCTAAATTCAATTTATTTGCAACACGTAACATTAGAGTTTCATAAGTTAACTTTTTAATGACAGTTTTAGTTGAAGATTCATGGGTAAAGGCATATATTGTAAAACACCATGAACATTCTCCTATGACCCTCCAAAACACAAATCTATCCAAACATGATCAACATTAGATGATTTTATTATTGTAAATTAATTTACTAAACAAACGAGCTGCGAAACTAAAACCTGTTGTCGGATGGGGAAAGATGTTGTTGGATATAGGAACGGATGTCGCCGGAGAGAGTGATAGATGGAGATGGAATGAGTTGCGATTTAGGGATTTAGGTTATGAGTTGTTGCTGCTGCGTAGTTATATACCCAAAACATTTGTGTTGCGAAACTAAAACCTGTTGCGAATTTGAAATTCAGCGTTGCGAAAGTCAGAATCGTGTTGCGATAGTCAGAATTGCGTTGCGATAGTCAGAATTACGTTGTGATAGTCAGAATCAAATTGCGATTATGTATTATCGCGTTGCGATAGTCAGAATCGCGTTGCGATTTACATATTCGCATTACAATTTTCTAAAATCGCAACGCGAATTTGGAAAATCACAATGCGATAGTCAAAACCGCGTTGCGAATCTGGAAACAGATTTGTGATACTGGAGATCGCGTTGCGATTTAGAGATCGCATTGCGATTTTGTTGGTCATTTTGGCAAATCGAAAAAAAGTTGGTCAAAATCGTATATTATAAGGAATTTTCGGTCACTGAGGTTATTTTCTCTTTTTGATTTACTAATATTCAATTATTCGAATATATATATTTATTACTTAAAGTTTAAAACGTCAATTTTGACTCCTTACTAAAATGAAAAATTGAGATCTATAATGGAAATATTTTTGAAATAATTTTTACTAAAGGTTTTGAACTTTAATCGAGTCAAAAACTCATTTGACAGTATCAATATCGTTGTTTTCCAACGGTTGAATTTTTTAATTTAAAAATATTTAATGATTTGATACTAATGATTTAATAATTATTATTAATTTAAAAATAAGAAATAATTTGATACTAATGATTTAATAATGATTACCAATAATGATTTCATTGTGGTCGTTGCACTTGTTTAGGAGTTTGTCATTATAACCAACCTGTTCATTCACCGAGGGCAATATTGGCGTACGATGAAGGAGATATATTTCCCTTTTTGGGTAACTTCTTTATTACCCGTCAGTATAGTAGGGGGTTGACAATATTAGTGTTCTTGTATCGCGAAATGTACAAGACGTCATTATTTGTAAATGATGCGTATACGACTAAAATCGGTATATGTACGATATTATTACAATCATGGGCATGACACAGAATTTCATGGTTAACATCGATTAGCCGAACTACAGTTGGCTTTCCTCTTGCTAGAAGGTAATTTTTTTATTTAATTTTTTTATCTTAAATTTATTAAAGAATATTTTGTAAAGGATAAATAATTAGAGAATTTTATTTTGATTGGTATACATATGGAGGCATAAAATAGAAGGAACGGGATTGGCGCACAATAATATGAAAGAGTCTAGGTTTAAGATGGACATCAAATGTAAAGTTGAGATATATATAAAATTAATTAGGGAATTTATTTTTTATTATGTTTATAATATAATATTGTTGTTTATTTATTTAGTTGAATTTTATAATTATTTAATTAAATAATAACTATATAATTTTATTTTATAGTTTATTTGGAGGCCGTACGATGATAGAGAAATTATGTCGTGCGTACCACAACATGTCTGGGAGGGTTGTCAATATTGGTGTGCTGTTACACCATTAATCCATTTCGTATTTGTAGAGTTCCAATTTTCCGATAGAGTATTGAGGCAGTTTGGCTTCCACCAACCTATTATAGGAATTCCAGAGAATCATGACGCTCTCCACAGATTAAATGGGTGGGATAGGGTCGGTGAGGATTGGGTTGTGAGGCATGCCAACCATATCAATCATTGGAACAACAGAGGTTTATACTTGTCAACGCTCACTCCCATACAAACGAATGACTTTGACTTCTAGAGTTCGGATTACCTATTATTATTGGGAACATGGAAAGTCGTTTTTGACAACGAACAGAGAAAGACGACAATTTATAGAGTATAAGAAAAAATTTGGTAGACCCGATAAACCAAGAAGGACTTGGAGTGGGAGTTATTCTCACCATGGAGCATAACAAGCGACAATGAATAATATCCCACCAGAATCTTTTGTTCACACATGATCATTTCATCAAGTGTTTGGTGATTCTGGTGTTACACCCTACACTCCTCAACTTGTTCCTCATCAATCACCCATGTTCTCTCCCATATTTGGGGCAACATATGATTTTGATCAGATGACATCTATGATGAAAAATACGAGTATTTGTCCTCAGATGGGAGAGCATAGTGGTGGTGGACATATATTTACAACACTGGATCATATGCCTTTGGTAAATGAGCAGGTTGATTATGATGAACAAACTCTTGAACAAATGCAACGACCATAACGAAATCATTATTAATAATCATTACTAAATCATTAGTATCAAATCATTTCTTATTTTTAAATTAATAATAATTATTAAATCATTATTAGTAATCATTATTAAATCATTAGTATCAAATCATTAAATATTTTTAAATTAAAAAATTCAACCGTTGGAAAACAACGGTATCGATGTTGTCAAATGTGTTTTTGACTCGATTAAAGTTTGAAACTTTTAGTAAAAATTATTTCAAAAATATTTTCATTATAGATCTCAATTTTCCATTTTAGTAAGGAGTAAAATGTTATCAAATAATTATTAATTCATTATTATCAAATATTATTATCAAATCATTATTAAATATTATTAAAATATTAAATTAAAGATTTTATTTAAATATTAAAATAAAAACATTATTAAATGCATGTAATTATTGTTGAATCATTGCATTGCCTTAAATAATTATTACTAAGCATTGGTATTAAATAAACCCAAAGACGCCAAGATTTCCAAAACCATTTTGCATAGGAAAAATTACATTGAAGGCGCCCATAGATCCAAGACATTCATGGTTTCACCGTAGATATCACCCTATTTAGGAAAATAATAAGCAAAGTGCATTTTTTTGGAAATAATATACCCCATAGGCATTATTTCGGCTATTTTGCCGAAACTAGGCTGTCCATTCATTAAAATTCAACAACCGACTGCAAAGGTTTGTTGGAAAAGAATGCTTCGAGGTTGGCTGTGATCAACTGCTCCAGGGCATCGAAGCATTCGGGAGTGGCAACAGCACAATGGGGAGACAGTACAACATTATCCAACGAGAATAGCTCTTGTGGAACATCAGGCTCATTCTCAAACACATCCAGACCAGCACCGCGAAGCTCGCCTCCAACCAGAAGCCGCACCAATTCCTTCTCATCGATCAGAGCCCCGCGCCCCACGTTTATTATCACTCCTTCCTTCCCCAGGGCAGTCATGACATCCTTGCTAATCATGTGCCGAGTTTCTTCTGTCAGCGCGCAACAACCAACCAGAGCATCACTGTTGACTGCAAGGTCATAGACATTTTCATACCATGGGAACGGAACAGATGGTTTTTTCCTCCTCGAGTTGTAGGAAATAACACAGCCGAATGACTCCAGCCTTTTAGCAATTTCAGAGCCTACGCTTCCCAAGCCCACTATTCCAACTCGTTTTCCTCCTAACTGCACCCATGTTGGAAAAGCAACCCCATTAGTTAGTTTCAAAAAACATATGAATGTGGAAACTATTGAGCGGTAAAAATGTTCTTTCGAGATTCATTCTCAGTTAATTAAGAAAATTATGAACTGATATTAAATTGTAATCACCCGAAATTAATATAAAAAAGAAAAGAAAACATGAATGTGTAGCATAAGTTAGTTTCTGCGTTCTGCTTTGCTCTGGTAATCATATTGCAGAAGAGTTTAACCAAGAAATGCACAAAGAAAAATGCAGTGTTGCTAAAGAAACTCCTTTTTCCATTATTGTAAGCAAGCACCTTTGCTAATAATCAACCAAATTGTTTCATACCGAAAACCTCGAAAGCCAATGAGATGAAAATTACAATCTTTATCATGCAAAGGACAAAAGAAAACCAAACCTTGAACCCAAGCGGGAATTCCCCATTACGAGCCCACAACCCAGCCCGAACGTACCGGAAACCGGCGGAAACTCTTCGGAGAACATCTATAAGGAGGGCCACGGCCAAGTCAGCTACGTCGGGGGAAAAGGCCTTCCCGGCGTTGGTGACGGTGATGTTCCGGCGGCGGCACTCGTCTAGGTCGATGTGGTCAACTCCAGCGCTGTAGCCGACGATAAGCTGGAGGAAAGGGAGGAGGGAGAGGAGGTCACGGGTGATGGGTGTGGGATCGACACAGAGCAGGACGCGTATAGAAGCAGAGTGGCGGGAAAAGAAGGAATGAGTCGACTCAGGAGGATCCGAGTCCAGAGGATCGAGGAGACAGAAACGGGTTTGGAGACGGTGTTTAAATGGAAAGTTGAAGTTGGGTGGGCGGTGCACAAGTACAAGCGGCGGCTCTTCCTCTTCAACGGTGGCCATTTCGAGCACAGAGATGATTCACGATTATTTATTAGAAATTTTAAGGGGAAAATGGATTCACGATTATTTATTAGAGGAATACAACAGTTTTAAGGTTACAGGAAAAACGGGACCATTCATTCACTGAGACGAAGGAAGCTGAAAAGGACACAGTCTATATTTTTGTTAAAATATGCTCCAGGTTCTTATACTATTAGTATGTTAATTATTTAGTCCCTCTATATTCTGGATTCAACAATTCAAGTCCAAATGTGCGTATTGTTAAAACTCTGTTGTTAGTGATCAGCTTCTATGTTTGCTCTTTAAATGCAAAGGCTCCACGCTCAGAGAAAAAAAAAACCTTTCTCTCTCAATCAAACATTACTGGTTTTACCAATGACCAGTCAATGACTCGAATTGTTTTGAATGAGCTTCAAGGAAAACAAGTTTAAGCTGCCCAAGAATCATTAGGCTATAAGCCCAAAACATTCTCAAGACATTTTGCATGGCTCGGGCCGATGATGACCCATATATTTTCTGGGTCTAAATGGACATGGCCCAGTTTTAAATCTCAACAAAATCTCTTTTTAATTTCCAGAGTGTTAATATACCTTTTTGGCCCCCGACTTTAGCTTTGAGCGGCAATTTGGCCCCTGTTTTGTAAAACAAATGTATCCTTGATCAAATGTTTTGATTTTTATTAAACTAAAATTTGAAATGTAAATCTTAGCACTTTAGAACATTTTTAGTTTACAAATAAATGTACAAAAATGTAATTGGACCCAATTGTATATTAAAGCTAAAGTCGGCGTTAAATTGTACATAACAAAAACTCAATGATCAAATCGTAGTTCAAAGATACAGTTAAATGTCCAGTTTACCCAGAAAATCAGAGGTTAAATTACATATTAAAGTCAAAGTCAACTGTCAGAAGTATATTAATCTTTTTTTATATTATATTTAATTTTATTTTTCGAATGACAATTATTGTGATAAAGTACAAAAAAATATCACAAAACAATGTTAAAAGGTAAAAATGCTTATGTGGCTCATTTTGTGTATTAGGAAATTATTGTTTTGAGATAAAGAGTATAAATAATTATTAGATTTATCTAACTAATATAAATTCTCTATGAAAAAAACTATTATAAATTTATTATTAGATTCATTAAAATTAATTATTCTTTTATGATATATAATGATTATTTGTGTACTTTAATCGTAATTACTATGGTGAAACCATGACTGTCTAAATTAAATCCCAATTTTGTTTTAGTTGGAAACGAATTGAAATCTGTGAAAAACCCTAGAAGACACGCACAATATCCGAGCACAACGTTTGTCTCCGTTGCCAGTTAAAAGACCACATATAGTTTATGGCAACAGAAAAGATTGAATGAAATGCAGTCAATGGGAGAAGAAAACAAGAAGATTAGCAAAGAAGAGGTAATTGCAAAACTCAAAGATGATGGTGATTTCGACAAGCTCCGTCTCAAAATCGTCCGCAAGCTCAAGGACAACGTATGCTATTTACTTCTTTTATTGCTGATTTTATCTTATTCTTTTACTTTCCTAAGTTTGAAACTAACTTGTTTTTAGCGGGTATTAAGGTAAAATTTTTGGAATGCTGAACTTTTGGGTGGCCTGTAAGCATCCGTGCTTGTTGTATCTGATTGTATGCTTCAATGGGTTTTGCCCAGATTTTGTGTTTTGGGTATTTTCGATGGGTATAATTTGTTAATTTCAAATCCAAGACTATGATTTTGAGTTTTGGGTATCTTCGATGGGTATAATTTTTTTCTTGCAACAAAAAATATTTATATTACATCTGTTGTTGCGATTGTAAAGCTTGGTTTTGGTTGGTTGTCCTGAAGAAATAGCTTACAGTGATTTATTATCTGTGCTTAACTCCGCAATCGAAGTGCCGTACTGGTTGATTAAGCTATTTTACTGCTTTAGATCATTGAAAAATCTTACTATTGTGCATCGTTCTACTCTTTGATCTTCAAAAACAGCCCTTTTTGGTCCTAAAGGATCTTACATTGATTGAATTTTATTTGATCATATAGCAAAAGTTTGGTTGACTAAATTATTCAAATTGCTTTGCTAACTTGATTGAATAGCAAGTGGTACTGCTTTCAATTGCTTGCTTGTATGGAAATAAAGAACGTTGCAAGATTAAACTTGTTTAGATATATGTAATTGTTCATTTGGATCTTTGTAGAGTATAATTGTTTTCTTTACTAACGGATTCATGGGACTACACTTTCAACTCCAGAACATTCCAAACGCAGCTCTTATAATTTTGTTATCGTAAATGAATGTGGAGAAAATAGCATTTTTGTAATCAGGTGACTTTATAATTTCTTAATAAGGCAATAAATTGCAGGAAGAATTACGCAACAGCATCACTGCTGCTGTGAAGCAGTCAACAGCACTTAATCGTCCAGGTGCTGAAAACATGAAACTAAGACACTATCAGATGCCATACATGATGAAGTTGGGTGAGTGGTCCCTTTTTTCAAAGTTATTAATGACTTTAATCCATAGTGGCCTTAGCGGAAATCTCGTGTGTTCCTGGATAAAAAGGATGGCACTTTTTTAATATCATAATAAATTGGGATCACTTCTTGAGAAGAATATTAACTCAGAATTTTCTTTTCTGTTCAAGCTTATGTTAGACTGTTCATTTAATCTTCAAATATGCTTCACCAGATTTTATAATTCGTTTAGGTTAACTAGAATGGAAGTGGGAGAAATGGAGAGAGTGAGAGAGCGAGAGTGCAAGTTTTCTGATGGAAAAGTGAGTGAGGTCCATGGAGGGGGTACTTGGTCTGTGTTTGTTGATAATCTTAGTCGGAGAGTGAGCAGAAGAACATTAGGGGAACTTTTTAGTTATCATGGCAAAGTCATTAGGGTGTTCATTCCATTTATCAATAACAGACCGAAATATAAGGATTGCACGTTTGCGTTCGTTCACTTTGCAAGCAAGGAGGATCTATGCAATGCGGTGGAGAAGACGAATAATGTTAGGGTTGATGGGAAGATAATTTCTGTGTCAGTAGCTAAATATGACAAGCTATCTGAGATGAAGAGTCGTGAAGGGTTTAGAGCGGGGGGTTCAAAAAGGGTAGAAACAGGTGAGTTGAAAGGAAGAAGAATGATTTTTCCAGCACAAGTGGCAGAGCAAATGGAGAGGATGAATAGGTTCCTTGATGGAAGAACGTATAGAGATACGGTAGTTGGGGTGAAAAAAGTTCCAGAGGGCCTTCAACTAAGCAGTCAAGGGAATAAAAAAGAGGAGAAGAAATCTTTGGAAGTCTTTATCCCAGTGGAAGAGAGAATATGGTTGAAATCTTCACTTATTGGCATTTGTAAAGATATCTTTGAAGTTGATTTTGTGCAGAAAGCCTTACGGAACGAGGGCTTCAAGGCGAAAGTGATTAGGTGGGGTTTTGCAAAGAATGTGTGTCTTGTAGTTTTTCAGTCGGTCGAGGAGAGAAGAATTGCAATGGAAGAAAGATGGGAAGCTCTGTCGTTTTGGTTTCAATTATTAGATCCGGTTGTGGACGAGGGGGGCATCCCATTAGCTTATTGTGCGATTTCAATGGTTGGTGTTCCATTAAATTGTTGGTCGGTCCCGTTCTTTTCTAGTTTAGCATCCAGATGGGGCAAGTTAATTAGAATTCAAGATCAAACTGCACATAGAGTGGATTGCAGAGTGGCACAGTTGTTACTAAGGGTTGAGAGTCCATTTGATATTCCCGAACATGTCATCATCAATACATATGGGAGGAAGTTCATGATTAAAATTAAGGTTGAATGTGTGGAGGATTTTTTTCCTGAGTTAACAGACATGGAGGAAGAAGTTGCAGAAGACCCATGGGAGAAAAGTTCTTCGGAATGGAGCAATGAAGAAGTGCAAAATGGACAGGGAGAGCAGGTGAGAGAGAAGGAGCTGTCAGAATCCCAAAATAGGGTTGACGAATGGGTTAGAAGTTCCCAACCAGGGATACACACAAATACCGAGGGGGGTTTGAATTTAAACATAGGAATGGAAAATACGTTTGACCTGTGCAAAGATGGGACTGAGGCAGGTAATGTCTCCATCCAGCAGGAAAAGTCAAAAGAAGTTAATGAAGGGAGAGAAAATGGGAAATGTCTGGGAGATCCTCCCAATGAGCATGAGAAAGTTGACTGTGGGAGTGGGTTTCTTAGGGGCCCGGTAGTACAGGTGAGGAGTAGGCTGGATCAAGAGAAGGAGAGATTAAGCAAAGATTATTGTACTACTACAACAGGATTCAATGGTGTGCAGTATCATACTTCCCTGCAGGAGGGGTTTGTTTCTGTGTCTGCTCATAAAAATTCTGGGAAGACTGTATCTGGGAGTAGAGTGGGAAGGGGTAAGTGCAAACGTGTTTATTCACGATCAAGGAGGGGGGGATCTAGGAGCCGTATTGGTACAAGTTCGGAGCATGCTTATAACAGTGAGGAAGTGGATGGGGTAGAAGCTTTGGAGTGTTGGAACGTAAGTGAATTGTTAGGGGTCACATTCAGAGGGGGGAAAGAAGCTTTTATGAACAAAATGATTCCTTTGATAAAGGAGAAAGAAGTACAGGGGGTAATTAAGGGGTGCTGGATTTTAGGGATATAGCTGGATATTGATGACTAGTTGGAATTTAATGTCTTGGAATATTAGAGGTTTGGGTAGGAGGGTAAAGGCTAGAGCTGTTAGGAGGGTTGTGGAGGAGAGAAAGCCTTTAGTTTTATTCATTCAGGAATCGAAAATGGAAGTGGTGAATCAATCGGTAGTGAGGAAAATGGGAGGAAATTTGCTGACAGCTACGGCAGTTTCAGCAGCTGAAGGTTCTGCTGGTGTTCTGATTACTTTGTGGAATGAAAAAGAGTGTCAGGTTCAAGAGGAGATCATTCATAGGAGATTTGTAGCAGTTAAGGGTACTATTGATGAGGTACTAGGGTCTTGCTGGTTCATAAATGTGTATGGACCGAGTGTGGAGTCAGAGAAGGAGGCGTTCTTCGGGGAGTTGCTTTTATTTCTG